AGGTTGGCGGGAGTGCATGCAAGGGTAACTCACGGTAAATTCAGACTAATGTCCTAGATTTTAAGAGAGCTGACTTTAACAAACTAAGAGATGTAATAGGAAGGACTTCATGGATGGAAATCCTAAAGGGAAAAACAGTTCAGGATGCTTGGGAAATCCTGAAAGGCGAGAAAATAAAAGCCCAAACCAAAACAATACCATAGAAAAAGAAAAACAAGAGACGTCTGACAAGACCGGCATGGGTGCACACAGACAAATTAAGGGACAAAAAGGATAAGTATAAAAAACTGAAAAGGGGGCTCATAACTAGAACAGAATACCAGCAAATAGCTCAAATCTGCAAGGATGGGGTCAGGAAGGCTATGGCTCAGAATGAGCTAAGACTTGCAAAAAAAAATTGCCAAAAATAAAAAAAAATCTTTCAACATGTAAGGAGCAAGAGGAAAGCCAAGGAAATGGTTGGTCCACTAATGGGAGAAAATGACAAGAAGGTGAGAGGCAACAGGGAGAAAGTGAAATTGCTTAATTCTTTTTTTTTTTTTTTTTTTTTTTATTTTTTTAATAGGTAAGGAAGTGGTAAAAGTACACCTAGCTGCTTTGAATGAGTTCAAGTCTCCTGGACCAGATGGTTTACATCCCAGGGTACTAAAAGAACTGGCAGATGTGATCTCGGTACCACTGAATGATATCTTTGAGTGGTCTGGAAGCTGGGCAAACTGCCAGATGACTGGAAAAGAGCATATGTGGTTCCAATCTTCAAAGGGGGGGAAGGGGCATCCAGGAAACTACAGACCAATCAGATTGATATCAATACCTGGGAAAATCCTGGAAAAAATAATCACACAGCAGATTTGTGAGCACCTAGAAAATAACAAGGTGATTACTAGAAGCCAGCATGGGTTTGTTAAGAACAGGTCATGCCAAACAAATCTTGTTCCCTTCTTTGATGAAGTGACTAAATCAGTGCACCAAGGAAACACAGTGGATATAGTATACTTTGACTTCAGTAAGGCATTTGATAAGGTAGATCACAGCCTACTTCTGTGTAAGATAGAACAAAGTGGGATAGGCAGTGCAACTACCAGATGGATTTGCAGCTGGCTGACCAACCACACTCAACATGTGGTCCTCAATGGAACCACATCTAAAAGAGGGAAGTATGTTTTGGGCCCAATGCTCTTCAACATCTTGATAATGACCTGGATGAGGGGACTGAAGGAAAACTCATAAAATATGCTGATGACACAAAGCTGGGGGGAATTGCTAATACTTTGCAAGATAGACTCAACATTCAGAAGGATTTAAGCAGACATTGGGCCCTGTCCAATAAGATGCAGATCAGTGGTGGGAAAAGTAAGGTCCTGCACTTAGGCAGGAGAAACCAGATGCACAGGTACAGGATAGGTGGTACATGGCTCCACAGTAGTACCTGTGAGAGGGATTTAGGTGTCCTGGTCGACCACCACCTAAGGATGAGTCAACAGTGTGCTGCAGCTGCCAAGAAAGCCAACACAGTCTTAGGCTGTATCAACAGGAGGATAGCATTAAGATGACGGAAAGTGATAGTACCACTCTATATTGCACTGGTGAGGTCACACTTGGAGTGCTGTGTCCAGTTCTGGTCACCACAATACAAAAAAAGATGCTGAGGCACTGGAAGAGAAGAGCAACAAAGATGATAAGGGGACTGGAGGTGAAATCCTATGAAGAATGACTAAAAGAACTAGGCATGTTTAGCTTAATGAAGAGAACGCTGAAACAAGACATGATAGCAGTCTTCCAATATCTGGTAGCTTAATGAAGAGAACGCAGAAAGGAGACATGATAGCAGTCTTCCAATATCTGAAGGGCTGCTACAGGGAAGAGGGCATCAATTTATTCTCCATTGCGCCTGAGTGTAGGACAAAAACCCATGGGTGGAAACTCGTCAGATCCAACCTCGAAATAAGGCGGAATTTCCTGATGTGAGAACCATTAAGCAGTGGAATAACTTGCCTCTTGATGTTGTGGGTGCCCCATTGCTGGAGGTTTTCAAGAAAAGATTGGACAGCCATCTGTCCAGGATGGTACGACGTCTGGGATGGTATGAGGTCTCCTGCCTTGGGCAGGGGATTGGACTAGAAGACCTCCAAGGTCCCTTCCAACCCTATGTCTATTCTGTGATTCTATGATATAAATATATGCGAGGGCATCTGCTAAAATTGTGTGTGTGTGTGTGTGTGTGTGTGTGCGTGTGTGTGTGTGAGTGAGTGTGTGTGTGTGTGAGAGAGAGAGACAGACAGACATACAGACACACACACAGAGAGAGAGAGAGAGAGAGAGATTAAAGCATTATCTGGAGGAAGATCCCCAATTCTCTGTAGAGGACACTTCAATAACTCCAAAGAATTAAATGAGGAGAAAAGGTGCAAGGAGCTACATTATGCCCCAGATCCTGAGGAGAACATCATTGCCCAGCACCCTGAGGGAGTTCAGTTGTCATACCCTCTCCCCCACCATCCTAGCAGCTACTTAGGAGCCAGTGTGTCTTGTAGTAGTAGTAATCTGTTATCAAGCTGCTTCTGACTTATAGCAACCGTAATAGGTTTTTCAAGGTATGTGAGATCTATAAGTTAGAGAATCATGTTGCCACATATACCCAGTGTATTTCCATGGATAAGCAGAGATTTGAGCCCAGTTCTTCTGAGTCCTAATCAGTCAATCTATTCTTAACACTACATGAACTCTACAGTGTCAAATGCAGGTTTCCACTGATATTTATTATAGTGTTTTATTGCTGTATAACCTACTCCCTAGAATGTCTTCATACAATGGTAACAGATAAATAATTCATATTTATATATGGTGAAGTCTCCCATTACTTGGAAGGCCCATTTTTTGTTTTTAATTTCATTCTAAAGCATTTAGCTTTCCAACTAGCAGATTCATGTACCAATTTTCATCTAGTGGTACTCATATATCACCACATTTATGTATTTATTGCCTTTCTTCTTAGGGACTCAGAGCAGTTTCATGAACTGTAGCTGTATAAAAAAAACAAACCACATTCTTCAGCATTTTTATGAGATGATATGTAACAGGAGAAATCACAGGTCTGACAATACTTAATTATAGTCCTGCCTATGTTCTCTATATTCTCAACCATATTTCACTGCCTACACACAAAGAGCTGAACCTTATGGGCATACTCTTTGATTTCTCTAGATTGATTTATTAGGAATAATTTGCTGCTGATGGTAAATAGATTCCATGCAAAAATGCTACTGCTGGGATCTTATTTTATTTATTGAAAAATCTACCTTACCCATCTAGTGGCCAGGTCATTACCCTGAGCAGCTTACAGTATCTATCTATCTATCTATCTTTATTTATCTATTTATTTATCTATTTATTTAAACATTTCTATCCTGCCTTTCTCCTTAAAAAGGACCCATAAACAGGGAATAACACAAAATAATAATCCAACCAAAGAAAACCAAATCTCTAAGTTCAGTGGTGTTAAATATGATCATTCATACATGATTATCACTGCTTAGTGATTTAGGTATCTGGCTGCAGAGCCAAAGATTGGGAGTTTGATTCTCCACTGTGTCTACTTGATCATTGAGTCCAAGGGCTGGACTCAAAGATCCATAGTATCCCTTCCAGTTGCAATTTTGTGATCATCATCATCGTTGTTATTATGATGATTATGATCAAGTTCTAGATGTGCATTTGTGAACTATGTCAAGCATCCCTGGAAAAGAGACCTAGCTTTTCATCTGTAAGATCCATCATGTCAACAATACAAGGCTGGATATGAAAAATATTATTACTCTTGTTGGTTGGGTGAATATGCCAATGCACAGTGAAGTCTGTGGAAATCTGCAATAGAAGTGTATCCACTTCTCCAAGAATAAACAGTGTGCAGGTGTGCCCTAAAAAGAAGCTTCTGAGCATAAGTGCTACAGAAATTTCTATTTTGAGTCAGGAGAATAATACTGAAAGTAATGATTCCACTTGTCTTGGCCCGAGTTAAGCCTCAGCTGGAATGCAGAGCGCAGTTTGGGGCTTCATACATTTTAAAGCTGCTGAATAATTGAAAAGGCTCAAGAAAAAAATGAAAACATGTTATGAAAGCCAGACCTATGTGTGTGGTTTGAAGGTACTGCATATTCCTATTAAGCAAGATTCAGGTCCAGTAGCTCCTTAATAATTCAGGTTGCACCAGAAATATGAGAAGGAAGAACCCTGTGTGCAAGACAGTTTAATAGCAATGTTTCTAGTTGTCCAGACATGGTCTTGGGCTGCTTCCCACACAGTGAAGGTTACTTCTTTCCAGGGGCAGCTGATGTTCATTATGGTTGATGAGATGAAAACACAGCAGTCAGTGGTGGGCAGAGCTGGTGGTGGCAAACAGAGCGAGGGCAAAAGTGGTTACACACACACACACACACACACACACACAACACACACACACACACACACAACACACACACACACACACACACAGAGGCAAATAAACAAGCATCCACCTATATAGCAGGAGAACACAGGGGTAAGTCCGCATCCTGGTCCTGAAGCAGGATAATATCCCCTTTGCTCAAATGGATCAGCCCTCACTGCTTCTTTCCATGATCCAGCTGTGAGCATCTGATGGAGAGCCTTCCAGCAAAATCATAAGCACAGCCGTCCATGTTTCAGTAGGAGGTCTGACAATAGATTTATTGGACTGAAATGCAATTTACCTGTCTGCACATTAAACAGCTGTGTCGGGGTGAAAGGGGGTTTCCTGTTTGTATCGCAGACTCTGCCATAATGTTCTGCAGTACAAGCCAATAAAAATTCCTTGTCAGAAAAGGAGCATTAAAACAGGGAAAGAGGAGCAGTATAAGTCACTGAAATGAAAAATGGAATGTTTTTATGTTTTGATTAGACAGTGGCTTTCCTGAATCTACTTTTCCCTTTTCTCATGGATGTCTCACATGTATGTGATTCTGGCTGTTCTTTTAATCCCACAGGGCTCTGCAGAATGAAACTCACTCAAAAATGTAGAACTGTATGAAGTAAAGAAGGAGATGCTGCAGGGAGTCCTGGCTGGAAAAGGTAGGAGCACAGAATCTCTTTCATGTGCTTCTAGGCTAGCAGAATGAAATGCTTCCTTTTAAAGTGAAAATGCAAAAAGCATGCCCCAAGGTTTGTATGTGAACCAGAGTTATGACCTAGCCTTTGTGAATTAGTCTAATATGTATGATCAATTTGCTCCACAGGCAGAAGTGTAGCCTTGGCAGCATTTTGCAGGTGATTCCTATGTATTTACCATATACGTATATATTTGGTATTTATGTATATTTATATATGTATCACCTTCCAGCAGAAAGTTGACAGTTAATGTACTAAAACGGTTCTGCCTTTGATATTGCAATCTTTGTCCATAGATATATGTCTCACTAATATTGACAGAACTTGCCTCTAAGGGGTTATGCTCCCTCTCCAAACACAAGTGCACAACTTGGAGGAGCTCCTGGATTCATCTCTGGGCCTGAATGCCCAGGTTTTGGCAGTGTCCAGGAGTGCCTTTGCACAGTTTAAACTAATATTACCAGCTACATCCATTTCTGGAGAGCTCTGATCTGGCCACTGTGACACATGCCCTAGTTCCTTCTTGGCTGGATTACTCGAATGTGCTCCAAGCGGGGCTGCCCATTTATAAAGCCCTAAATGACTGGGTCCAAGCTACCTCAAAGACTGCCTGCCCCACCTCCTTGTCTGAGTGGCCAGTTGCTAGAGGAGATGGAGAAGGGAAGTCTGGGTTCACATGATGGGGAGGGACAGAGCAGCATATGCCGGCTGGTGAGAGGAGATGCTGAAAAGGTGGGTGGGAGATAACTTAGGTGCCCACAATTTAGGAGAAAGGGTAACAAAGTACTTTGTGCTTATCTCTAGTTGTGGGTCTTCCACAAATTACAAAAGCAGGGAAGTAGACCCAGGAAAAACTTCCTATATTACGGTGTGTGTGTGCAGAAGCCAAACCAAAGTAGGTATGAAGGCAGCAACTGCACCCTCCTTGCTCAGGTTGGCCATATTACTTGTTAGTCAGGTTTTATTGAGATTCCAGTCCCATATACTAGTAGTCTCACATCACTGTCAATGTGGAAAGAGAGTCGAGAGTATGTCAATACTGTACGGGAAATTTTACTTTAACTCCACTTGCAAATGTTGTGTTGAGCTGCCCTGAAACCATTCACAGAGTTTCCACATACAGGGAGTCAAAATCCTTAAGGCTGATTGACATGGCTGCTCAGCCAGTGGATATCTCTTTCTGTGGTGGAAAAAAGAGAAGGCATGCAGGTGTACCCACACACCCTACCACATCCATACATGAGGCATGGCATGTGCACTCCACACAAAGGTCTGTATTTGCAGATACCCACTTCAGGTAGTTCTTCCCAGGGCAGGTGGGAGGAGAAGTGTGGAAGAACTCTTTAAATTACAGACTCTGGATAGTTTTATGCACCACCTTGGCATATTTTGAGCGCCCGCCCCCACTGTTATGTTTTTAGAAAATGGAAATGATGAATTATATGGGCCAATAATATTCTAGTAGCAACAAGTCAAGCTGCAAACACATACAGATGATTGTCACACAGAACAGTCTAAGAAAGCAGAAGTCAGCTAGGAATAAATGCAGTGTACAAGCATTCAAAGGGACAGAACAGCACAGCCTCTGTCTCCATTGAAGAGCTGAGTTGTTACTCTAATCAAAGAACTAATAACGATTAATATTTTGTGCAGATAAACTCTTGAATAGGAAGCAGGCATTATATTATACAATCAAATTTGTTATTGGATGTACACAATTTTCATTGCTGTCCCTAACAATTAATTTAATCACTATAGACCTACAAGGAATCAATTTTTCTTTGTACCTCATTTAGTATTAGTAAACTTCAACCACTTTGGAAGGAAGCATCGATCCAGTTCTAACATCGATACAACTACAGACAAGTGAACTACAAGTCAAGATTTAATGCAGCGTGAAAATGTTCTGAGCAGTATTTATGATCACATTCAGTACTTAACTGGCTATTGTGTTGATGCACCATTAGGTAGTGGATAATGTAACTGTTCCTTGTATCTACTTTTAAATAAAAATGTATAATTCACTGTCATGTAGTAAGATCCCCAAACCCTGTTGCTTAATGTGTATTCTGTTAAGCAAAACTGAAGAACTCTTCCCTGTAAAGGGAAAAGTCAAGCTGGTTGTAAGACATTGTGGATATTGATTGTGTTCTGAAATGTAAATGAGACTCTGTGCCTTTACAGTGTTGCAGTTACAAAGGACATGTCACTCAAACCACCTAAGCTATCATTTCTTATTTAGGTGGCCATATTCAACAAATAACCTCCATACCACCTGAACGCCATTACCACTATACCACCCTACCATCTGAACACCATTCTTACCTGATTTTGGAAACTAAATAGGTCAGGCCTGGTTAGTATTTAGAGACTAACTTGTATTTTCTTGCAAAATTGCAACTTTTCTATGCTTAAGAAATGTACAAATCATAATACACTGCTGAAAATATTGTTTGACAAGTTTTATATTGTCCAGTTTTTACAACAACCAGATGTGGTGAATGCAATGGTTATACAGGGTTTTTCTTTGAAGATTTCTTGACTTATGGGTTGCAATCATCCTCATCTACCACTCAGCATTTGCTCCATCAGAATATTGGTTGAAAAATCTGGATGAATCAAGCACCTTTAGTGTTAGCTCAGAAAAAGATACAGTAAAAGATAAAGTGGTAGGGCTCATTATACATAACAAAGATTCATAACCCTGGTAATTCTTCACATGCCAGATTCCTAAAACAAAAATTTCACAACCATTTTTGGCTATTTGAAGCATTTATCATGGCAGCTCTGAAGTATTTATTTTTAAAACTAAATACTTCAGAGTATATGTAATACTTCAGAGTATATTTCTCAAACAGCTTGTCTACGATTTCATACCACAGTTCATTCTTGCATTTCCCAGAATGCTCTTACTAACTGCTGCCATTTTTTCCATCTTTTTTGCGAGTATACATTTTGAGAGAATAGTCACATAAATGTCAAAATAAGCTGTAATTTGCTCTACTTTATTTTAATATGTTGCTGAGACAGCAATCTCATTGATGACTAAAAATCTGAATAACACTTAAAACTAGTTTTAAGTAATAGTGCTTTCAACGTAACTAATATTGCCCATATTTGCCAAAATGGCCACAGAGGTTGCCACAGAGACATTGCTGAAATATAGACCAGGTATGGATGCAGCATGTTTATAAAACCCTCTTGGTTTTTCAAATGCTGTCTTCTAGTCTTTGAAATCTTGGAATCTGATTCGAACCCATAATGACTGTTATTATATATAATAACATGTTTTTGCAGATGAACATGTATTATCTCCTTGGAAATTTGGGATAACATACACTTTGCACATCTTTACATCTTTGTGTTCAGTGTTTTCCTAAACAGCCACTGAGTGAGAGATCTTTTAGTGGCTGTTCCGGATGAACCTCTTGTTCTATAGTTATCTTGTCATATTTACTGAATTTTTCAGAGCTCCTTACATTCCTACTGTTCTTAACATAAGCAATCAATCTTTAAATAGAGGCTGGGGGGATTTTAGATATTCAGATCAACATTTTTTGGATGCAAGCATTACACTGTTCTATAGGAAGGACAAAGCTTGAGTAAACATTGCGTAGAAAAGCAATTGTTTAGGAAAACACTGAACACAAAGATGTAAAGATGTGCAAAGTGTATGTTATCCCAAATTTCCAAGGAGATAATACATGTTCATCTGCAAAAATAACAAAGAGCCTTCTAGCCATCTAAGGACTACCCATTTTTGCTTGAATCAGGCTTCCATAACTGTAGCCCTTTTAATCAGATACATGATGATCCTACTTGGAGCCTTTATGGTAATTTTATTGCATGTTATGAATGGGGAACAGAAGCATGTCACACAGCTGTCATTTTTAGGACCAGTTTAGTCTTCAGTTTATGTGTTGTTCCTCCTTCTGCACAGCCTAATAGTCAGGGCTGTTGTACTTAAAAGCATGGCAAAAGCAAGCAAGACAAACCAAGATAAAGCCAAACATTAGTTCCTTGGGAGAAGTGCACAATACAGATGAATAAGGTAAAGGTAAAGGTTCCCCTTGAGAATTAGTCCAGTCGTGTCTGACTTTAGGGCACAGTGCTCATCCCTATCTCCAAGCCGTAGAGCCAGCGTTTGCCCATACAGTTCCCGTGGTCACGTGCCCAGCGTGACTAGACACGGAATGCCGTTACCTTCCCATCAAAGTGGTACCTATTTATCTACTCACATTTACATGCTTCCGGACTGCTAGGTTGGCAGGAGCTGGGACAAGCGACAGGAGCTCACTCCGTCACGTGGATTTGATCTTATGACTCCTGGTCTTCTGACCTTGCAGCACAAAGGCTTCTGTGGTTTTACCTGTAGTGCCACCACATCCCACAGATGGGACATGCATAATAAATTTCATAATAATTTAAATCTACTCACATTTACATGCTTCCGGACTGCTAGGTTGGCAGGAGCTGGGACAAGCGACAGGAGCTCACTCCGTCACGTGGATTTGATCTTATGACTCCTGGTCTTCTGACCTTGCAGCACAAAGGCTTCTGTGGTTTTACCTGTAGTGCCACCACATCCCACAGATGGGACATGCATAATAAATTTCATAATAATTTAAAATT